GCACTTGGGAAGTGAGGCTCTGGAGGGAACTGGGACACAACAGGACAGCCCTTCACAGGTGGGATAAACAAGAACCTGCAGGAAAACACTGTATGGCTTCCCCAGCGTTTGTAAGTGCTCCAGGTCTTGGTACAATGTCCAGCTGAGCATCTGAGTGGAGCAGTATAAGCAGGACAAATGTCTGGATTACAACAGTGGCCAACCAGCACCATGGACTTCACCTGAAAATTCTCCATCTGTCTCCAGATGACTCCCTCTTACATATATTATATATACAATATATTACATATATTGTATATATAGATATACATATATAGTGTAGATATATAGTGCACGTCTGTTGCATGTGAGGTAGTCATCTTTACTTCCAGAGTTCTGCAGGTAAATAACCATTTGGTGTTTGATTTGTTCTGCATGCAGCACATCAGCTGGTCCCATTACAAGTAATTCAAAGGCTTTCCAAAGTGGCAAATCTCTGCTTATTTTCATTTCCTGCCTCTAGCAATGTAGTAAAAAATTGTCTCATTTGCTGTTTGAAACCTGCAAGCAGAAGTGAAATATTCTGCAATCCAGGACAGGTCAGACTGTAGATTCTTCCACTGTCCCAAAGCCTAGTTTAGTCAGCTGGATGAATTAGAGTTGGTAAGTGTGTAGCAGAGCATAAAAGGAACCCTTCATGCTCTGTAAAAGCAGCCTGGAGGTGCAGCAGGGCTCTGCACAAGGGCACTAATTTGTCACACAGAGTGTCCCCAAGCTGCACTGCACAGCCTGGGCTGGACATGGAAAGCAGGACACAGCAAGCATTTCCTAGAGCCTCACTGTGGCTGAAGGGTTATCATCCATCCCCAGCAGATAAGTTTTTCTTTCCCAAAGAAAGGAAAAAGATTAGCAGACACAATCATGAAGACCAGTGCACCTCTGAAGAGGGACATCCTCTTGTTTTGTGCTCAGGCATCTGATATCTGGCAACTGATTTGCTTCTTTGTATATCCTGGCTGGATCATCCTGAGCCCTCCTGTACAAAGGGCACAGAAAAATTGAAATTAGTTTTGCCTGGACACAAATGCCAATTAAGATCACTGGAGAAGGGCAGAAAGAGAACAAGAAACATCTCACTGGAGTTGTTAACCAGGTAGGATGCTGGAGATGGTCCCAATCTTTCCCAAAGCCTTTTGTTTTTCTGTTTCCCAAGCAGCTTCTTCCTTGAAGTTTTTCCTGTGTGTGTGCAGGTAAAAACATGGTGGAAAGAGCTGAGCTGAGCTCACATGGATCACTGGAGCTTGTGGCAAGGCTGCTCTTCCCTTAACGGAGAGAAATGTCTTGCTCCCACCAGGCAATGAAATGACAAACGTGAAAGCCTCACTTCCAGCTTAGTCCCAGTGACCAAAAGCTGCTGTTGAGTTTTTCTTTTTCCAGAAGGTCTCTTCACTCACTTTTGTCCCCACCTTTCTTCTCATTCTCCCCACAGTTCTTTTCTCCACAGTTCTTCTCATTGCTCCCTGTAGCTTTGTACAGAGGGGCAGGAGGAAGAAATGACAGGGAAAGGTTGCTAGGCCTATGCCCCACTCTCAGCATGCAGTACACAAAGCCTTTCTGCTTTGGTTTATTCCAGAAACAGGACCCAGTGGAACGCTCTGTCCCTGCAGCACAGTTTGGCCATTGCTGGCACCAGGCTGCAGGCTCTGGACTGAGTTTCCAAAGGCTCAGGACCGAGGCCTGCCAAGCTTGCTTTGCCTGGACTAGTGTAGAGAACCTGCTGCTTTGTTTCAGTTTGGCTTAGCTGTAGGAACACTTCCCTCCTTCTGGCCAGGTGCCTGCAGCTGATGGGGTTTACTTTCACTAGCACTGCATGGGAGAGCCATAGTTTTATACCAGCTCTGCTGTGCACTAAGAGCTGTTCACAACTCCAATTTCACACACTGGAGCTGACAGAAGTCATCATGGGCTTGGTGTGACAACAGAGGTGCTGCGAGGTGGAAGCACAGGGTGCACTGAGGGGGGCTGCAGGCCCAGTGGGATGGGAAGAGATGGGGCACAGATGGGAAGACTCTGGAGCACTCACAGCTACTAACCACTCACCTACGGACAGCTAAAGAAATTCAGATACACAGCTGGATGAGAATGGTTTCAGGGGTAGAAAAGAGGACAAATAAATAATATCTTACATGTATAGAATCAGCATCTATTGTGAATATGGATGTGAAATGGAGTTGCAATCCAATGAAGAAAAAAACAGGTGTAAAAGTATGTAGCAAATCATAAAACTGACCCCCAGGAGAAATGGGAGTGAGGAAGAAGAAACCATCACCATCAACCTCACATTCCTCCCACAGAACAGCTCCAGATGCTGATGATTTCCTGTAACACCACCATCAGAATGAAACCACCAATGTTAGGATTTAGATGAGCATAGCAGAGGGAACATAACATCAACAATAGGTATAGAAGATAAGAAGTGTGCAAAAGGCTTCAAATTATTTTTAATCATTATTATTATTGCTATTGATTTTTTTTCTGATAGGAGTATTATTTATTTTTCTGTAATAATTTGACCTGAACTAATAATAATTTTTTATTAGCATGCTAAGATTTCAGTTCTACTAACATTCAATTCTTGTCTTTATATGTAAGATATGTTTCCCTTTTGCCCAGAAACAATATTTTGAGCATAACACTGTAAGAAGGTTTCTGAATAGCTCAGAAACATTCTGTATTTCTCACAGGTTCAAAATAACCTGTGAGAAATACTTTATAAGCTGAAATCACCACCAAATGTGAAAAATGCATCTGCCCAGAAGAGATCTAAAGAGCTTCTCAGCCTCAGATGGAAAGGTAAATAGTGTTTTGGGTAAAATCAGCTTTTTAGTTTTTCCCTTCAAACCTGTTCCTGCTGTCTTGGATGTTCTCTCTGTGAGTCAAAACTGATTCTATTCATCTTCTAGACTGCACTTTGTCAAAGAGGAAAGCCTCAACAAACACCTTATGAATTAGGAACCATTATTTTTAGCTACAGATGAAAATTCAAAGAAATAAATAGAAACTTCCAAACTCCTAGTCTTCCTCTAGTTCCTCAGTGAAGCTTTCCATATCAATGTCTTCCATTTCTAATGGTTCTATAATGTTTTACAGATGTATTATGCTTACAATAAAATCTAGTAGCAATGGATTGCCATCAAAAAGTGCCCTTAGCACCAGCTTTTCTAAACTCCTGGAGAAAAAAAAGAAGAGGCCAAGGCCAAGAGCCACCAGAGCAGACAGACCTGTGCCATTTGGAGCCATAAAGAAGTGAGCAAACCTGAGGGACTCCTAGTTTTGGGCTGGGCTTCCTTGCCAGAATTGCAGTGTAACCTGTAATTACAAGGTACAGTGTAATTAGAGATGTTTTCACATCCTGGACATCCTGGAGCTGTGGTGTGGAGGTGATTGGCCAGAAGCCTCATGGCCATTCCTGATTCTGGGGTTTTGGCTTCCCTCTTCACTGGAGATACTTGCAGAACATTTTTCTCTTGACTTCTATGTGTCTCTGCACCAAGTCAACTCACAGGACTACTTAAAATTAATCTGTATGACTAAAAGCATCTTCCAGATGCTCCTTGAGCTCTGACACACTGGGTGCTATGAGCACTTCCCAGGGGAGCTTTTCTTAACATCTGCAGTAGCTGAGGGTTGTTTAATGGCTATAAAGCTTTGGAAGATGTGCAAGATCTAGACCCAGTTTTGTGAGTGGCTTTGGTTTTCTCTTTGGATGACTCCAAACAATTTCTGGAGATCTGATACTTGAATTCTCTCTAGTTTGAATATACTTACTGTATGTTTTTCTTCTTGTGAAATTAAAGTAAGGATTTCCTGATATGCTGTATTTTCCCTTAAAAGGAAACCCTGTTTTCCTACCAAAATGGTGAGATACCATTTTATTGCAATCTGTAGATTTATGGGATGCATGGAAACCCTCCTTCCTTAAACAGAGCTTGCCATAAAGGACTCTTAGTTAATTTCCTTTCTGTGAATTTAATTTTGGCCAGGTCCTTCTGCCTCATCCAATAGGACCTTCCCCCTCAAACCTGTAGGCCTTGGTCCTCTGTGTTTTACCAGGGTGTTGCACAAGTCTGATTGCCTAATCCCATTTCCCCCCATAGCTGCTGGCTCTGACAGCAGTCAGAGTCCCAAAGCAGGACATCTGAGAAATGCCCTGATCAAAGCTCCCCACCCGCCGGTGGGGTTTGGCCATTAACCTTTTGTTTATGCCCTTGCTGTGCAGCAGGGGCACTCCAGGTATTTCCTTACTGAACAAAGGAAGGCATTTAAACCCAGCAATCTGCTTTATGACTCTGGGCACCGTTACTGCACACACCGTTTGACTCCTTTCTCTGCAGAGATTAATGCTGGCATCTTAAACGTTACTAATGCCTTATAGACAATCCATTAACATCAGTCTCTCCTAAGTGGCCAGCCATACCATTATTTATAAAATAGGGATCCTTTCCTAGTGCTAGCACTACCAATCCCTTGATTTCCCGAGCATGGAATCATGCCTGTTATCAGCTGTGGAGTATTTTACACTGCTACATATTTTTTACTATGGAATGAGCTGCATGTGTGTGAGTGTGAGTGACATGAAAAAACCCCCATAAAATAGCAGAATATTGCTATTCCACTTGCTGCAGTGTATGAGCTGATCTGGTTAGACACGAAATGCAGACAGAAATCCGCCTCACCTCTCAAGCTAATTTTAGTCTCTCCCTCTGTTCTCCGTGGCTGTGTGTGTATAAAATCACTGGCAGTCTGACAGCGTTTCAGTAACCTGTGCCACGCGCAGAGCGGGATGTACTCACCAGCCATCTGCTTGCATGGCACGGGTTAACTGAGCCTGTGGGATTGTGCTTACCTAAACAAAACCACTGCAGTGAGGGGAAAAACAATGAATGGGTGGAGATGATCAGCCCATGCATTCCAGCTAGTGCAGTCCAGGCAGCAATGACAGCCTGAAGGTTGCAGCAGCGTCAGGATCAGCATTCCAAGTGCACCAATCTTACAGTCTGGAGTGATTTTACGTGGAGCTGTTCTTTATTTGCTGAGCCATGGCCAGTAACCAGGCCAGCCTGCAGGATGATCAGAGCAGGCACTGCAAGTTTTTATCCTACATGTTCTACCAGGCTGTGAGAGATCACAAGCCTGTGTGGATGCTGGAAGACATGAGAACTATGGAGTATTTTTACTGGGAGGAAAATGCCAGCCTACGAACCTACTCACCTTCAGAAGCCCTTCTCTATGCAGTGGTGCATAATCACCTGCCTTATGCTCAGTATCTGCTGTCTCATTTTCCAGAGGAGGCTCTCAAGGTGCCTGGGGAACACTTCTGCTATTGCCCATCCTCTGCTCCTCACCTGGCCATGGCGGTGACATATGACAGGAGAGATATCTTGGGACTGATCATCAAAATTGCACACAAGCTCCCCAGCTTGAACTCCTATATCAATAGGGCTGGCTGCTTTCATCTGGAAGATGGGAAAACACCCCTGCACCTTGCCTGTGAGCTGCTGAGGTCAGAGACGGTTCTCATCCTCCTCGGGAACGGAGCCTCTCCCAGGATAGAGGACAGTAAAGGGCTGACCCCGCTGGACGTCATCCTGGAGCAGATGTGGGACTCCAAAGTCAATGTCGCATCAAAGAAGCTCTGCCTCGACTACCTCTTGCTCTTCATGCCCAACCCACAGTTTAAGATGCGGAAAGTTCTGCAGGAGCATCCAGACCACTGGACAGCTTTGCTGGGAGAAGACAAATTCAACAGCCTGGTGGGGAACACACCTGCTTCTTTATATCTGCAAGCTATGCAAACTATTCTCCAGACTCTTCCCCCTTCCCACTTCCCTAAAAGCATCCAGGAACTACCTATACCTCAGGCACTAAAGCCCTTACCATCCTATGGCAAAAAGCTACCAGCAAAAAATGTGGTAAATGTTTTTCCTTGACTTTATTCAATAGGTCTTGGATTTTCCAAGGCAACTTAGAGGAGCTGGTTATCCACCACCCTCTGCATTTTAGTGTGATTTTAGTACTTAACTTATTAGGCTATGCTGGAAAATCCAATATTTTGTGACAAGATTTTAAATGTCTTTTCTAACTGATTGCAGGCATGGCACTTTTAAAGGCAAAAGCCTTCCTTGTTTTCTGTTTTGTTGTGCATGTGAAGGGTTAACTGTAGTTGAGAGTGTGTTACGTTTGATTTCTTAGTTGTCAGCTGGTATCAGTGTATCTGAATTCCCAATATGATAACTGTATCCTGTGTAATGCACCTGGGTTAAAAGGAACTACGTACCCAGTGGGATTTTTAAATGGTGTCACTGCTGGAGCTGGGAGAAATACCATCCCCTTCCAACAAGGTTCAAACATCAAGCTTCCTTTCTAACAATGCTCAAGCATCATTAGTAATAACCACAAAGTGCATGGCTGATGCTGCAGGGATGCAGAGGCAGTTCCTGCAGGATAACTGATCCTATTGAGTTACTACAGCAGGTCATGGTGTGGAGGGCATGAGTTCAGAGAGGGGTAGTGTGTGTATATTCCTGGGGGATGGGAGATAAAGATCCACAGAACAGCTAATGGGAAGCATCCAGTCTTACCTGGGAGCAAGAGGGTTAAAGGCAATCCCAGCCCTGATGCCTCTACAGACTTTTGCAATGGGGAAGGAACCATTTTTCCCACTGTCCAGTAAACAAATGGCAATTGGAGCAGGGACATTGAGAGCCCTGTCTTTCATATGTGACATTATTTCTCCATGGCTTTTGTTTTGGAACATATCTCTACAGGAGATGTAGCTGGCTAAGTTGATTTCCCTGTGGGTCTCAGAGCCACAGGCATTTGTTACTTATCCTAAGCTGAGGTATGATGTTCTGCTGTTAAAAGTTGTTACTTGCTGTCAATTAGAGTATTTTTGCCACCCAGGTCCAGACAGAAATCCTTATCTTGGAAGTTACAAAATGTTCCCACTAACTGGGCATTGCAGGCAGGGTGAGTTTGCAGAAAGCAGGGCTGAGTCTGGGCAGCATTCTGGGTAGTTCTGAGTCACACTGCTCTCTCTGCTCAAGGCACTGGTCCTGCTCTCCTGGCTGTTCTCAGCATCAACAGAGCAGTGGCAGAATCCCAGCTCCCTTTGGGGGACATCCCTTATTTTGGACACCAGCGTTCCCCACTCCTTGTAAGCGCAACCCTCTGTTCTGCTGAAGGAGCACAACTCACTTCCCCCGCCTGCACTGGGCAGCAGTGGAGAACTCACTCTCCTCTTCAGCTGGATTTGGGGCCCAAGGCTTGGGGCACAAACCACTTTCCACAGGCAGTAGCTGTGGAAGATGTGCAGTCAAATCTCAAATGCTTTGTGAAAAAATGGCTCATGTCTCATTTGGCTAATTCCCTGCCTGTGCCAAGGAGGCCGTGCTGGACCTGCTCCCATCTTTCTGTCAGCACAGGGAGCACTTCCATTTAGTTTCCCTCTGCATGGGCTACCTCCTGTGTGCCAGGACACTGGCAATGCCAGCCATGGCCAGGTGGAGATTTACTGTGAGGCTGCAGAACATGCTGTTCGCAGCCACCTGGACCATCCTTTCTGAGACACTGGGATGCTCCTCCCAGCCATCTCTTCCCGCATGCCGTGGGAGGGCCTCAGTTCCGGTGCCACCTGTGCTAGGCCAGGTGAATGAGCAGCCTTGCTTGTGAGGTGGAGGAAATGTCAGCCCAGCCCTAAAAGTGGCAAGCAGGCCATGAAGGGGCTAACCCTTCTCCTGAAATCCCACATCTCTGGTGCTGCAGTGTTCCTCCACTCCTGCCCCTGGGGACTTAAATGTCCTTCTTCATCTGTGTCTATTCCTCCTTGTTCGATGGGGAGGGCTGCGAATGGGGAAATGCAGGGTCAGCATTGGGTGAGGGTTTTGGGGGAAGCCTGCATTCGACAGCTTGTGCTGCAGACAGAGGCTGTCACAGCTTGGGAAGCAAAGCAGAACCCAAGGCAGATTTGCATTATAAGAGGTGGCTCAGCTGCTTCTGCCAAGCCCTCAGGCTCCCCAGCACTGGCACATACTCCCCCGAAAACCCGGAGCTGGAGGCAGAGGACAGAGCAGGCTCTTGGTGCCTGTGGCTGCCCAGAGTGACTGTGCAGAGCACGGCCCCAGTGGCACCCCAGGAGTCCTGAGGAGCAGGACTGGGTTTGTCCCCAGCAGCACTGCGGTATCTCATCCAGATGTCGGTGGGTGAGAGGCGGAGGAGGCGGTGAAGGATATTATTAGAATAGTAATTAGGTCCTGGAAGCAGAGATCCCGGGAAAGGAGGAAATGGAAATCATCCAGTGCTATTGCACTGGCTCGAAACCATGTGAGTTTCAGTGCTCTGAAGTTTCAGAAAAGACAGGAGGGAGGGGAGGGCTGTTTATCTTCCAAATCCAAGGAGGCAGGTAGGGACTGTTGGCATTAATGCCAGCACTTTCTATTAAGGCAGGAGGCCATACTCAGAGAGCCAGAGCAGCCCACTGGGAACAAGTGAATGTAAAATGGTGCAGGGGTCTCTTGTTGGCTGCAATAGTTGTGGATCAAGGCAGAGATCAGGAATCAGGCACTTTATGGGTGGGTTTGTAGCAGACAGCAGGATGCTTGTGTGCATGCATTTGTCCATGTGGGAGGCTCCCCTCTATCCACCTGCCAAGAGAGAGGAATAGAACATGAATTGTCTTGATTAGTGTCTCTCTGGGACATTCCTGTGACTGGTGCCCCAGCCTGGAAGAAAGCTGCTGGTCCACTGTTGACCAACATGGCCAAAAATTCTGGTGTGTCCAGCCCAGAGTATAACAGGCAAGTACCCACATAGGAAAGATCACTCCACAGCCCACTCATTTCTCCTTTTCTTGACCATTTTAGCAAGAGATCAAGCACCAGCTGGCCCTCAATCACATCGGGCCTCCCATGTGCAGTCCCAGTGGGACACAGTTTAGGGTCATTAGCACTGTGGTGACAACTCTTTCCATTGCCTGTAGCAATGTGACAGCAGGATGGGCATTCCTGCTGGAATAGGAGAATCTTCTCCCTAGACCCTGTTTGCTTATATTGTGGTGATCTGCCTGTTAGTTTGAGATCCCATTCATCTTTTTTGTCAATACAGTGACATTACACCAGATACGGCCAAATCTACCTCAGCCCCACCTGTGTTGGCTTTTTCTCTCCATTCTTTCCAAGCCAGCTAATTAGCAAAAGTAAACTCAAAAATATTTTGCAATATTTTCCTGCAACCTGACTGTCTTGAAAAATCCCTATGCTTGCATGGCAAATATGTTGGTGGCTTTGTTAATCAAAAAGGGTGCTGGGTGCTGTGTGGTGATGTTTACATTCTGCATATCTGCATACTAAGTAAGTGTCACTCAGATCTGTATTTCTGAACTTGGGAAAAAGAATAAACACAAGAGAGAAATGGGGAAAAGTCTTTTCTGATCTTCGGATTTAGGTTGGTTCTGCAGGTTACATCTCTTTAATTTCAATTTTGAGGAGTAGCATTGTAAGGATCTGAATTGTCTGTATGTGTGAGCCTTTGGTTTTGGTGGGAAGCACTTCAGTGAGTGCAGTGGGGTGGAGTGAGTGAGTGAGTGAAAATGTACAGGGGTGTGTATGTGTGTGCGCGTGTGTGAGTGTCTGCCCTCCTGTCGCACATGTGTGAGTGTCTGCCTGCCCTCTCCTGGCAAGTCCGTAACCGGCAGTTCGCACCCACTGCGCTCCTCGGACCAGCAGTGAGCGATGCCCTAGGGAAGCAGCCTTTTAACGCGGTAAGTGTGTGTGTCCCAGGCCCCGTGCTGCTGACAGGTAAGGACGTTTCTTCTTTTGGAAAGAGGCAGCAGTTTTGCTCTTGAAATGGGTGTTTTATCCGCAAACACCAAGCACAAGGGCTTCAGCTTGCCAGCAACTACAATCATCCAGCAAAAGGTTTGTGATGCTGTGATGCTGGCCACACTTTATTCTAGAACACTTTTTTTTTTTTTTAATAAAATGTCTTAAACATACATCTTTGTCTTTTCTTTTTTTCTGGGCTGCCAGCAAAATTCAGCTATGCATGACTTTCTAACCGTATGCTTCTGTCTATTTCTGCAGCATCATTAGCAGGAAGGACAGGCCAGATTCTGACCTCAGTTACACCTCCCTACACCTGAAGTAACGCTTTTTAAGTCGGTTCCATCACTACAGATGTTTGTTGGTCTAAAGGAAAAGAAACTGTGTATTTATGTTCTTCAAGGCTCCATAACTCTGACTTTAGCATATAAATAAATGTGACACTTAATCCTTGAAAACATTTTTTTACGTTTTTTGTACTCTGAATGTATATGGATATATATTTTCCATCTCTAACATCAATGGCATTTCCCTGTTCCCAGTTCCCCTGGCGTTTCTGGAATCAGCATGGCAGTGACAGATGCTGTTGGCCACTTATTAAGACTGATTGTTGCCATGCCCAAGTACAAATGAATGTTCATTGTATGATACAACTTTCTTATAAAGCCATACTTTTGTAATTTTGGTTTCTCTTTTTTAGGGGGGGAGAAATCTTCCCCATAATTGTGTTAGCACATTACTCGCTGCATGATTAAAGATAAAACAATTGCAACGTGCTGGAATAAACGATGTATACATAGTCTGATATAATTACATACGCTAGCTGTGAAAATAATTTAATCTTGATTGTATTAATATAATAAACTTGAAATATAAAATTGATGTGTCTTTTATTAGCCAACTGGTCAAAACCACCCACAAGTATCCGTTGCTTTTGCTTTGGCTTATCTTATTGTTTGATGATTGCATTCTGACTGCTGAGCCATTGTCTCAAAAAATGTGTTCTGAGGAAAATAATATTTCCCTTCACAGGCTTATAGTAGCTGACTGTGCTGTCAGAGGTGACCCCAAGTGATGGGGTGAACCCACACTTCACAGATCTGCTGAAAGGTGGTGATAAATCAGAAGGTGGGGCTCAACAGAGGTTGAATGTAATTGGTTTCAGAGATTTTAATTTTTTAGGTTTGAGTTCAGCTTATGCAGCTGTTTCCCGTGAACATAAGAGTGCTGGTAGCCTGCTTTCCTTCTCTGGCTTGTACGCCATCAACAGCTCCTTTCCTTCCTCAGGTTTTTCTGTGTACAGCCCTGGCAAGGCTTCCAGCACCAACCTCTCCTGTAGGCTCAGCTGAAGGTCTTCAGGCAGATGAGCACCTCTCACCCTCTGTCCTCTCCATGGGGTAAGGATCCACCAGATTCTGTGCCAAAACCTGAACCATCCAGATCCTCCTCTGCTCTGATAAAAACAGCTACCCAAAGTGTTTCAGGTGATGGGTAGCTGGTTTGGATGATGAGGATGGTGATGATAATCACAGGGTGTAGACTCCAGTGCCAGCTGTACCCACAGATCTCCTCAAGGGACACTAGTACATGCAAGCCATAACCAAGGGATGACTCCTTTGAGCCTGTGCTTGCATAGTACGTTACTGGTTTCATGGAAGAATGCAGAGAGGGAAGTTTCACTGATCTCATTTAAAGAAAATCAAGACTGTCCTTGCCTTCATAGCATGAGATTTATCCCTAACTACTTCACCACAAGAATGTGGTCCCCAAATATGTAGTTTTCTGGATTATTTGCTTCCATGTTTCCCATGTTTGAGAAAGGGAATCTGATTTAGTTTCTCTTGGGCCCTGGCAGCTCTGCTGGGGCTGACCATCTGGGAACTCCAGGCTGACACATCCCTCAGAGGCAGTCCCATGGAGGTATCAGGCTTTTTACAACTGTAGCTAGCTGGAGCCCACACACCAGCAGGCAGCAAGACAGGGATTTAAATAGAGAAATTGAAAGGGTATATTCCCTTGCGTGGGGGGAAGCACTGTCACAAGCAGATGATGCACTGAGCGAAATCCTGCCCACGCCTCAGTTACTTGGGTGCACCTCCCCGAGTGAGTCACCCCAAAAGCAGCTGACAGGTTTGGCATGTCCCACACTGTCCCGTGTCTCCCTGGCCAGCACAGCAGCAACGCCTTGGGGGAGCATGCTCTGCCTTCTGCTGCGCCACCACTCTCAGCTGGTGACATGGATGGCCACCAGGCTCCAGCTCCCAAGATGCCTGCCTTTGTCTCCAGCCTTTTGGGAGCTGCTCTGAAGCCAAGAAGCCAGATTTCTCCAGGGGTGACTCCTAAGAATTTTCCTTGGTCTGGAAAATCAGCCATAATTTTTTTCCGAGTAAAATGTGTGTGCGTTTTGCTATGGATTTGCTGTGTAAAGGAGAAATTTATTGCTGGTGGGAAGGCTTTTGGCGAATTTCATGAGTTCGTAGAGATAAGAGAGCTGTGCTCTGTACACCAGCTCTGCCCACCCACGCAGATCCCCGAGGAGAACAGTGAGGAGGAGGAATGATTATCACAGAGCTGTCAGACTCATGCAAGAAAACCTGAGAGGAAGAAAGGGAAGAAAAGGGTTGGGAAAGGCTCTATGGCAAGATGCCTTGTGGGAAGCGGATCCCACAGCTGAACAGAAATAGGGAAAATAGTCTGGAGAATCCCAAACTACAGTAGAAGCTATGAGAAACACAGAAACCACTCCCTACCACTTTCTCATGGAGCTTGGCTTCAGGGTCACAGAGAATATCAGGATGATAAAGAAGAGGCTGACAAGCATTAGAAAAGGAAATAATCATTAGACCTGACTGGGAATTGATGTTTCTATTCCACCAAAACCAACAATATTGCAAAATACACTTCTGTTCTAATTCAAAATGAAAATTAAAACTATCAAAACCAATCTTACAAGGAAGAAAACTGATTCAGATCAATCAAGATATTTCTTAAAGAATAGTAAAATTTTGATAATGTAATACCTGGCTTTTTATTATTAACAGTGTCAAAGCACTAAAAAAGAATCAAAATATTATAAAAATCCCCCACTTCTTTTGACAGCTGAACATCTTTGTTCAGATTTCATGTACCAGAATTTTTGTCAAAATAGGAACATAAAGCTCACGGTGCTGGGTGTTCCCAGCATCATGCCATATCTCCAGCACTGGCAATGGGAGAAGCCAGGTAAGCAGAGCACCTTTGCCTGGCTATTTTGAGCAATGCAGTCCCTACTTAATTCCCTCAGTTCCCACAGCTGTTGGATTGGGGATATTGGAGACTATACCCTTGCCTAGTCCTTCAGAGTATTCATCTTTTGACCTAGTGTCCCAAATTTGTCTAGGTCTTTTCCAAGCCTGTTGATACAGTCACGTCCATGACTTCCTATGGCAGCAGTTTACATTTATCTGCACCCAAGCTTAGCTGCCACCTCTTTTTCCTACTCAGTTTAGTATGTGCTTAGTTTACTCCTTCAGGTGCCTCTGTGTGGTGTTTGGATACCTGGAAAACCTCCAGCAGCACTGTGAACACAGAGCTATCACTGCTCACTCCTTTCTCCAGCCACAGGTTATATACTGAACAAAACTGGTTCCCGCACCAATCTCCAGGATAGCCCACTGCTGACTCTTCCTCACCCTTTGCCATTCTGTAACCAGCTTTCACTGCATGAAGTAACTCCTAGATCCTACAACAGCTTCATTTTCTAAAATAATCTTTGGTGTGGAACCTTGCCCACAGGTTTTTGTGAACCCAAGTACTTTATGTTCACCAGATCTCTCCTTTATCCTCTGTCCTTTTGAGTGAGGTAAGTAATTTACAAACAATTCAGTTTTTATGAAGGTAATCTTTGCAGTAAAATCTGTTCTGACAGGAGATGGCAGAATTAAAAACCTTTGTCCATTAGAAGGACCGAAAGATTTTTATGCGAAGTCTGCTTACAGAAGTACAGCCCATGGTGTGGTTCTTGGAACTGTCCTGTGCAGGACCAGGAGTTGGACTCAATGATTCTTGTGGGTCCCTTCCAACTCAGAATATTCTTTAGTTCAGTGATTCTGTAAAACACTTTGCCTGGAGATTGCAGGGGAATTCCAGATGGTATTTCTTTAAAAGCGTCTTATAATTTTGAGGCTTTGACTGAAGCTGAAAATGAGCAACTATAGGACAAAAATCTCTGTTCTTCTGCCTGGAAGGTGTTAGGGAGTGACACTGTAAGCAGACTCTTCTCTGAGTTTACAGATCCTAGTGAGATACTATTTTCAGCTGTGATGCATATATTTGCAGACACTAAACTTCTCACCAATAGAGGTGATTGCTTGATCAAATGAGGTTTTTTTATGGGACTCCTCCTGTGGGTAGAATTGAGCTTCACTGATAGCTACAGGCTTTGGCTTACTTCTCTACCAGCCTGCAGAGCCCAGCATGGTGACAGACAGAGATAAAATTACATTCCATGTATAATTTGGGATTTCATGAAAGGAAAGCCAAAATGATAGGAAGAAAGAGCTCTGCCTAAATTAGCTTTCTGCTTAGAGGTGTGTTCCCTAAACACTCAGAACACACATGCTTACTTAGGCTCACTCAGATCTGGTGAGCTTCAGGGAAGTGTAAGGTATGGCAAGTAACCCAAATTTGCAATCAGAGAGGCTGAGAGTAGCTTTCCCACAAAACTACCCAGCCCTTCTTTTGCAGAATTAACAAATTCTAGCAGCAGATTGGTGCTTTGTGTTCTCTGGAAAACATGAACCAGGTTTCAAAATGTCTCTGTTCTGCCCTGACACACATGAACATCATCCCCTCAAGTAAAAAACATCACTAAAATGACAAAGTACAAACCTAGACCTGTCCATGCCCTTTCTTATTCCCCTTTTGCAGATATTTAGAGCTGGGGAGCCCCTCCATCGTGGCCTGGGCCTTTGCCCCCACTGCTTTGGAGGGGATGAACACACAAATTTCAAGCTGTAAAGTGACTGCACATGACACACAGCATGAATGCACATGCAAGCACCATAGTTGATGTGAAAGAAGAGGCCCTTCACGAGTCTTACTTATTTTTAGAGTGAAAAGCCCCTGCCTCAGCCAGGCAGGAGTTCAAGACTAACATCCCAGTTCCTTACTGGTGCCAGCCTGACAGGTTTTACCGAGCTGCCTGTCAGTGCAACTCCTCTAAGATTCAGGCAGCCAACTCTTTGCCTTTAGGATCAGGTCAGACTTTAAACAGGCAACTTCAGTTTACCTTTCAGTAGCTACTGCTTTTACTAGATTTGGACCTTTATACCATCCTCAATCAAATCTAGAAACTGTTCAACCTGGCAGAGCTGCTAATGAATATGCTCTCTCCAGCTGAAATGAAGAGGGGAAAAAAAAAAAAAAAGGAATGTATTTTATAATGAAAGCCCTGTGTTTAAATTTTATATTTCAAATGCTTTAAATGTTTATTTTCTTCTTTTATTCCTGCAGTGTTGCCTGAAAAGCCAGTTTTGCTCGGCTACTGTCAGCTTCACTGCATGGCTCCCTGTGTTTTCAGTCAGTCCTCAAATCGCCTCAACTTTGAAGTGGATTCATCTTCCAAAGGGAACCTTTTGAAGATGAACCTTTTTCCCTCCTTTCCTCAGCACATGAGCCCTGTTGGGCTTTTGAAGTCAAATAACACCGTTTATTATAAGATAAAATAGAGATGCTAACTCATAAGATAAGGAAACAGCTGGGCAGGGCCGGATAGGAATAAAAATGAGTTATCAGCAGCCTTCCCTTCTCCTAGGAGTGCCCAGGCTTGTTGGCTGCCTGAGCTGCGGAGAAGTAAAACCAGCTCCTTACACCTGTGCAGACGCTACCGGTGATCATT